TTAGTCTCAACTCACTGGGTAAAAATGTGAAATAATTTTAGTTTTTCCAATAATTTCCCACAATTATAAAATTGTTGAAAACCCCCTTCTTGCTACTAATATTTTGTTTTATTAGGATTCCTTGTAAAACACTATAGAAGGCCAGGGGCTTTCTTAGCCATCTGCCATGTAACAATGCCTCCTTCATCTGTAGACATACGTACTGGGAGGGCATGTACCTCAAGGACTCCCTTTGGGCTTATCAGGTTCTTTGGGATGCTGGTGATCTTTGTTGATTTGTTGGTTGCCTGGTCTGCATGTATTTGGTTTGCATGTATTTCCTTGGTAGAGTCTTCCTTTGAAGCGAGGTGAGATTTAAAGCCTAGATCATGTGGGCTTTGGTACCCACTTTAATGCATCTAAATATTGTTTTTAAGCTTAAAGGGAAGGCTTTGGGGGATGTTAAATAATAACATGATCTGATGATTTCCTTAGAAACAACAATCTATTGAGTGGAAGATGGATTGCAAGAGTGGAGGCAGAGAGATCAATTAAAAAGATTTGCAGAAGTCTAGGTAAGATATTATTGTGGCTAAAATTAGAAGAGTGCTGGTGAAGAGGGTGAGCAGCTGGACCCAATATATATTTTGATTGCAGAGCCAACAGACCAACCTAAAGGATTGGATGGTAGAGGTGGAAAAAAAATGAGGACTAAAGGACCAAAGAATCAGGTACACCCAAATTCTACAATGCAGATGTTAAAACTACTGGAAAAGATAGAAAATATCTTGGAGCTCAACTGGGAACCATGATGAAAAGAGGAAGAAAATTATATAATCAGAGGGAAATGACTTCAGAAGAGAATGCACAGAGAATAGCAGCAGAGAAAGGGTCTGTCCTTCCCCTCTGAACCCATGAGTAAATAAAGAAGCAAGAATAGGAAATTTCCACTTACCTGGTTCTCAGGGAAAGTGGTATCATCAAGTGAAAATAGGTGTTAGACAAGATGGGGTAGAAACAGGTCTGTCAGAAGATTAGGAATCTATAGGGATTTATTCACAATCAAATGATACTGAAAGAATACAGAGACTGCGGCTATAAATGAGGCTAGAAGACGGTAGCAGTAGAAGAAAAAGCACCAAGTGCCCTGATCCTAGCTAGCACTATTAGTTAGAGCTATCATGGGTGATAGGCTGAAGCCACGTGTTAATAAGGGTTGAGCAATGTTGAGTAGGAAAATCTAGTTTAAAGGCCAAGTTATATAACTTACCAGTGTCAGTTCCAACCAGAATGTTAGCATGATAGGCGGCACATCCTGTGTTGATAGGAAGGCATGGGTGGGGATCCGCCCTCTATTTTACACTTTAACTTGGTGGGTCTTTTCTAATTTCTACATTTATTGTTGAGTAGAGTAATTGTGACATCAGAAGGAAATCATCCAATCATGGTTTTTGCTTTTCTTTTAAAATTTCTTCTCCCTTTTATTAGTCTTTTACCCTTTCTCACTATCTATACTCTTTTCTCTGTCTCACCTTTTATATAGTTTTTGATATATTGTTTAGTGTATTAACATTCTAACATCTTATTTCATGTTTGAAACTAATTTTTGACAATTTGGGGGCCCAGAATCACAACTTGAATGTATCTTTTTTTACGAATCATGGCTATCATGACATAAACCATTCACTTTTTTGGAAAGTGAACATTTGTTGTCTGGATGACCATATCATGTGGGCCTATTGTCACTTCCCTAGTAATGCCACCTTGTGACATCATTAATGGCATAATGTCTGTATCTATACAGTGAGCCTCTCATATGAAGGATAAGACAACATCTTCAAAGAAAACATAAGATTTGTGACACAGAAGCTAGTGAGACTATGGGTTTGACAAATCATCAAGCTAAACATTATTCCTTTTTTATTGAAGGGACTTAAACTTCAGAGTTATCAACTTGCCTCTTTTATGATGTGAGAAGAGGAGGGAAAAGGTTATATAAAAACAGTTTAACTTGAATGGAGAAAATGGTGAGTTCTGTCCTGTTAGAGGTTTACTGAATCATGAGTAGGTCAAATGTGTCAAATAGTTTTATTGAGAGACTGGTTTTCCAATACTAAACTTTTTTTTTTGTAATATACTTTTAGCTTTGAAGGAGAAATTGAAAAGGGTTAGCCTAAATCAACAATGTTGCTTTGTTAAGTGTGCTTTGCAAGGTGCAATTATGTGCCAAGGTGGTAATAATTAGAAACTATTTTTTGATAGCAGCCTTCTGTTACAAGCTTAATTAAGATGGAATTCCGAATACTTTCAGCTTGTGTATTAACAAAAGGCCAAAGACTTGTTGAACCAGCTAACTGGACATTTTACAATGGATTGTCAAGATACAGATTGCAGATGCCGCCTACTGAGGTATAGACAACGTTCATATTTGAGGTAATACTGCTCCTTCTTAGAACTCTTTACATTTAATTATTCAATATTTGCCTTCTAATTGTATTGTAGGTTTCATAAAGGCAAAGATCTTATCCTCAGAATTTGTCACAATATGTGGCATGCTATAGCCTCTCAATAAATGTTGATTGAATGATGAATAATATAATTTTAATTTGGGAAGATTAATCAAACTGCCAAACTGTGCTAAATAATACATTGATTTCTTCTATTAGTCAAACTTCAAGTAGCTACAAAAATTGGGATAGGAGTAGGAAAAACAAATTTCACAAATAACTTAGCCATTTTATTCATTAGCTTCTACCTTCTCTTTCTCCAACAAACCTTTTTCTAGAGATAATTATTACCTGCCTTTTGAGAGATACGTAGTCAATAACAAATGGTCCCATGCATAGCACATAGAAAAAGCCAAGAATCTAAAACTAACAAATTATATAATCAAGCCTCAAAATGTTAACATGTGCACATATATAATTTGATACCATGTGTGGCATAGAGGAGACCCTTGTCACCCAACCGTTAAAGTAGACACTGGATAGTTATTAAAATCTCAATATTCTTCAATAGTACAACATATAAAAATAATTGTCTAGGGGAGTGTTTCTTAGACCATGTTTCAGGAGTATGGTTACTTCATTGGCTATTGAACCTTTTGAATAATTTCATTCTGATTTCCTATATATGCTGCTATATGTGTATGTGTGGGAAGAATTTATTTTATTATAAAAATATTGTTTAAAAGATATTTATCTGTAAGATACAAAAACTGGGGAATCAGTCAAGGAATGAATGTCCAACAGACCAGTAGCTGAAAGAGTTGGCATTAGTTAGGACTTAAACAACATTCAAACATTTTTAAATCAATTAGTTTGCTAGATATGTCTACAATTACCTCCAAGAAAAATAAATTAGAATCTTCCAGCAACTCGGTAGGAGCAAAGGTGCATTACCATCAGGGCTCCGGACAATGCCATGAAGGTTGGAATATAACCTTAGATGTCCCATCATCTTCAAAGTCCACTCAGTAGTTTTGTTTTGGTTGCAATACTGCTTTTGGTTAGATTTAAGAAGACAATCACAAATTGCTAAAATTTTCCTCTGAGGTGAGATGGATGGATGTAGGAGTTCTATTGACAAGGACCACTATTTTGCAAGTCTTCTAAACATCTTTAAATAGAAATGCTTTATAAATGTAATAGGAGACTGGGGACAAGGGAATGATATTCGTTAATGTAGGAGCTAAGGGAAAACTTCCCCTTTGCCTTCTGAAGTTTTGCTTAAAAAAAAATCAACTCACAAATGGTAGATTAATAGGAGGAAAGGTATACAAATTTATTTTAACATGTATAGCAAAGTGGAATTGTAGGAGAATGATTTCCCAATAACCCAATGAGGTACAGATGATTATATACCCTTCTTCTTAGAGAAAGGGAGATGGGAAAGTGTGGATGATTTTAGGGGGGGTAGCAAATGATTTTTAGGGGAATTCAATGAGCTTGAAGAACATACAATGGCCTGGGATAAAGTCTACTGGGCCCTCAGAGCAGACAATAGTTGGTGACAAAAATCTTCCCAGTTGTGTTGATAGACTTCAGTCTTTTTTCCTGCGGTAGGAGTTCAGTTAATGAAAACTCAGGGAAGAGACCGCAGGTAATTGTTTTTTTCCTTTGGCAGTTCTGGACTTTTAAGTAGACAAGGGAACTTCAGAGAACAACTTTATCCTGTGCTTTGGGAGACACAAAGGATTGAGAAGCAGGAGGCAAGGGGTGGAGAGGGAGAACGTCAGGGAGACCTTGAGGTTGCTTCTTCAGTTCAGCACGTCAAAGGGCCATATTTTGGGGTATTGGTTTCTGAGTCCCAACATTAAGAACCTCCTGTAACTATTGGCTGTGCAAGGCCCTTTCCATGGTTAATTTTATTAATTTGAACCTACAACATTCTTGTGAGGTAGGTAAAAACCTCAGTTAAAGGAGAGAAAACAGAGTTACAGAAATCTGAAGACTCGTTTAGGTAAGGCGGGACAAAAATTCAATGCCATCAGTTCTGATGTCGAAGCCTGGCTGAGGTACTAACGTGTTAACAGTGGAGCTGCCAGGACCAGAAATTCTTCCTTAGTTTCTAAAAAATTGGAACAGAGAATCTGGAAGCTGAGTAATCAACAGGGCAGGAAAAACAGTACTTAAATGCACTTTGCAGCTGAAATCCGGCAAATTCTTGGGAAGAGGCTGGCAAAGAGGCAGTAGGTGAGGTCTTTAGAAAACAGGGGCGTTTTCCAGCAGTTCCGGCTGCCTACTTCGTCCGGGTTACTGCAGGATCCACAGAACCAGAGTTTCCTGCCGACAGGAAGGAGGAAGAATGCGTCCTCCCTCTGCAGGCTTCCTCTCGCTGTTCTGGGGCCCTGGGGACCACAGGGGCTAGGACGAGCTTTCATTAGTCTGGGACAGACAGGGAGGGCGGAGGCGGGCCTGTGGGAAGCGGCGCTCACGGCGCTCTGGGCGCGCTCTCGGTTCGTCTGCAGCCCCGAGGCTCGCCAAGGTAGCCGGCGCCCGAGACTCAGTCCTGAAGAAGCCATGGCGAAGTCCAGGGCCCGTCTGTACCTTTGGATGTGCTTGGCTGCCGCGCTGGCATCTTTCCTGGTGGGATTTATGGTTGGTAAGTGTACGAAACACCTTCCTCCGACCCCGGGGCTCGAGCTTCTCCGCAGAGATACAGGGAGAAAGCTTGGAGCTTGAGGGAATTGGACTGTGCCCTCGCCTGGGCGGGCTGAGCTAGATACCGGGAGCTTCGCAAATTTCAGCACAACTAGAAACCAAATGGGATGTATTCTGGCCTTCCTAATAGGAAAGTGTGAAAGAAACTCAAATTAATTAAATGCTCAAGGATTTCAGGCTACTGTTATGGGCTGTCTCTGCAGGGATGAAAAAAATGGTTTTATTTCCAAGCAATATTAATGAGTCAAAACTTTCAACTAATATGGGCAGCACTGCAAAGAACTGCTCTTGATTTAAATAAATATTTGCGGAATGCTCCCTGTGTGTCAGGCACTGCCCTAAGAACTAGATGCCCAGGGGAGAATGAGAAAGGCCATGCCTTGAATAAAATGTGAGAAAATGAAAGAACATCCTCACATAAAACTGGTTTTAACCAGCTCGAAATTACATTACACATCAGCATTTAAGAATTTTCTGCATTTAATGTAAACATATTTTTTATTAACAATCCTGATGAACATTTTTTTAGCTCACTGTGTATGTGGTCTGTTAGGCAATTGGCTTTTTGTTTTTGTTTTTGCTTTTAGTTTTAATAAAGTCAAAAGCGATAATGTGTATGTATGTATATTTTTCCCTCAGGCTGGTTTATTAAGCCTCTCAAAGAAACAGCCACTTCAGTGTGCTATCATCAAAGTATACGGTGGAAACTGGTATCCGAAATGAAAGCTGAAAACATTAAATCATTTCTTCGGTAAGTGTATTTTGCATATTTGATCTTAAAAATAGTGTTTAAAATATTGCAGGGTGAGAAGTGTATTATAACTGCTTGTATGTATGTGGGCAGCCTTCTTGTGAAATTATATATTACTCATTTATGATAGTTTAAAATGTCTATTTAAACCACTCAGGGTGAAATCCATCCAAATATTACAGAAGTAGGTCTGTCTTTCCTAACTTCATCTACCAAAAAAGTATCTTGTTGGCTTATTGAGAGATGTTTCAACTTCATGTAACTTTGGATTGCAACTGAATGTTATTCTTTGTTCCTCCCGCCTGGGTTTAATCAGCAATTTTATTTAGACATCATATTCTCTCAGCAAGAGTTAGATGCTTGTTGATTCAATGATTTAGTGGAAAAGAGATCGAAGTTTCAGATTCTGTCTGCCAAAAGTTAAACTTTTATGCCATCTTGAAAATATAAATTTATTGTTTACAAATAGGACAAAATGAAACCAAAAAGGATCAATGCAAATCCTCCAGCTTCTAAACATGAAAAAAGAGTGAAATTTAGGAGAGTGATTATAAATTCCTTAAGGTCAATGACCACAGCATTTATTTCTGTGTCCAGACTCTTTTAAAGGGATGTCATTAAAAAAAAATCATCTTTGTTGAAGCATAATTTACATAAAATAAACTGTATCCCTGTAGAGCCTACAATTTGAGTTTTGGCAGAGGTATACTATACTGAACAAACCATCTCTTCAATCATGATACAAAAAATTCCATCATGCTCTTAGCAGTTTATTCCTTCTTTCAGTCCTGGCCCTAGGCAATCACAGATCATTTTTATGTCACTTTAGATTTATTTGCATTTTCTAGAATTTTATATAAATGGAATCATATAGTAAGTACTCTTTTGTGTCTGACTTCTTTTACTCAATAATGATTTTGAGATTCATCCAAGTTGTTGCATGTATCAGTTCATTACTTTGTTTATTAATAATTTAAAGAGGTTTATTCTGAGCTGAGTGTGTGTGACCCACGGTCCAGAGCACATGGCCTCAAGAGGTCCTGAGAAAATGTGCCCCATTCATTACTTTTTATTTCTGAGTAGAAATCCATTGTATAGATATACTACAATATATAGTTGAGGGACGTTTGAACTGTTTCCAGTTTTTTACTATTGTGAATAAAGCTGCTATGAACATATGTTTACACATCTTTGTATGGACGTATGTTTTTATTTCTCTCGAAATGGCCAGGTTGGATGATAAGCATATGTTTAACTTTTTAAGAAAATGCCAAAGAGAATTCAAAAGTGGTTATACCATTTTGCATTCCTACCTATTATGTGTGAGGCTTTCAGTTGCATCCTCACCTGTTTGGCATTATCACTATTTTTAATTTTACTCATTCTGATAGGTGTAGTGATATGTTATTGTGGATATTTATTTATTTATTTAATAAATAAATATGTGGGGGCATGGGCTTGCAGGTGAGCAGGGTCCTCAGAGGAAACAAGTTAAAACAAGGAGCTCAAGCAAACATTCAGAGAAAGGGCTGAGGATATGGAAGAGTTGTTGAGCACAGCAAAAGAGTTTAAGAGCCAAAGGGGGGTTCAAGATTGGGTTAAAGGTAATGGTGACAATGACTTGATTCCTCCCAGCCACTTTCTTATTGGCAGAGCCTCAGCTGAGAGTGATTGCCCTCCTCCTTGGGGTGGGGGGCGGGGTGTTCAGTAAAGGTTCCCTTCTTCCCAGCCTAAGAATCTCTTGATGAGTCTGTAAACCAGTCATTATAATTCTCTTCCCTCTGGCAATGATGGGTTTGAGAAGGAGCAGATGACCCTAATTTGTGTAATGAAACAGAAGACAAATTTAGCTAAGATCTTCTACAAAAGGTTTTTCTTTGTTAAAATAAAGAAACACAAAAGAGGGAATAGGCGTTCTTGTTTGTACTTGTTTCTCCTGAACATTACTAAATATGTGGTGCCTGGAGCTGTATTGTTCATCTTAGGACCATAAGGAGAAACATAAATGTAAAGGATGTTATACTCTACTGCTCTTTTTTTTGTACTTCTGTATTTTATTTCATTAGGTTCTCTAAAAGATGGGTGGCAAAAGTTCGTGGTTAATCTTCCCTCTTCATTTAAGAAAATATATTTACTTTTTTCTCATTACAAGAATAGTGTCTATTCTTTGTAGGAAAAAAACAATAATGAATTGTATAAAGTACAAAATAAATATCCCCAGCCTCTCTAGTTTTTTTCTATGCATATAAAATAATCTGTCTGAAAACATTTGTACATTTCTTAAACAAGGTAAGATGCTAAACATCTGTTACCTACAGTTTTCATCTAGTGATATATAGAGAGAAAACTTCATAGAGAAGGTGATGCTTGGGGAGTCTTAATGGATGATTAATAGTTTAAAGGTGGGAAAGGAGGATAAGTAGAAGTGGTGATGGAGGGAGATTTAGGGAGTCAGGGAAATATCTGAGTCTGAGAAAAGACCTTGTACAGAGGCTAAAAAGTATGAAAGAGCATAAATTATTTCAGAAGAAAAATGAGAATACTCAGTGACATAGAACAGAAAAATTTATAAAGAGTGATGGGAAATGAAGCTGAAAAGGTGGAAGGATGGACCAGACCTTAAAAGGCCTTAGGTGCCATGTTGGAGTGTAAACTCTATAATGCAGGGTGTAGGGAGCTGTAGAAAGATTTTAAGCAGTTGGATGATGAGATTAGATGAATTATTTAGAAATACCACTATTTCTTAAGATCAGACAACTATAATTTCAGATTCTAGCCCCAGCATTTATTAGCTGTGAAATTATGAACAAACTATTCAGCCACTCTTTCAGTTTCCTCATTTGCAAAATGGGGACAACAGAAGAAGGATTGTGAGAATTAAATGACATAACACATGTGAAAGTGTAGAGTGCTTGGCACATTATAAGTTTTCAATAAATGCTAATTTCCCCAACTGCTGTATATTTTGTAGATGTCCTCTGGTTGACTAAAATACAATTTACAAAAGTAAATTTGGGCAACTTAGTGAGACCCTGTCTCTGTAAAAAAAAATTTAAAAATTAGCTGGGTGTGGTGGCATGTGCATTTAGTTCCAGCTACTAGGGAAGCTGAGGAAGAAGGATCCCTTGAACCCAGAAGTTACAGTGAGCTATGATCATGCAACTGCACTCCAGCCTGAGTGACAGAATGAGACACTGTCTCTTAAAAAAAAAATGTTATGGCTCATTTACACCCAGAACCAAGAGAACATTGCTCAAATTCAATTCAACAAGCCTATACTTCTGTACTTTTTGGGTAACAGGCAAGAGCTAAGCACTACGGGATATAGAATTTAAAAAGGCATGGACTTTTACCTCAATAAGATAGATAAGCAACTATATAGATGAAACAATTGGAAGTAGAAATTATAAGTTTTAAAAAAAGAAAATATAAGTTAAATGTAGAAGTGCCCACTGGTTGCTGCCAGATATTAAGACCTTTTTCCAAAAAAGTCTGATAAGCGGCAAGAAGGAGTATCATCAGTATAGAAGTATGATATTCTTCCAGGGTGCCTTCTCATATCTGCTGATTGTACTTACTGTGGAATGCATTCTTTTCTGAGGAAACATAATATGAAAACTGCAGTTGGACACAAATAATTTAAAAATTAGCATATTTACAAGTTGGTAATACTAGGTGGGTTCCTTATATTTCTAATATAGGTATGATATCTTAATACCTAAAGGATAAGTAAGTAATGCATTTAAAATAGTTTTTAGGCACATCTGAATATAGTCTTTAACTCCCACTTGTATTTTTTTTCATTTCAGTTCTTTTACAAAGCTTCCTCATCTGGCAGGAACAGAACAAAATTTGCTGCTTGCCAAGAAAATGCAAACCCAGTGGAAGAAATTTGGACTGGATTCAGCCAAGTTGGTTCATTATGATGTTCTCTTATCATACCCTAATGAGACAAATGCCAACTATATATCAATTGTGGATGAACATGGAATTGAGGTGATATGAAATTGTTGTTACTTTTTATATTTTATAGTCCTACCCTTTTATGTTGATTGGAACATAGGGTCAAGTAAAAGAAATTTGTTCATAGTGCAATAGAACTCACATTTTTTGGGAAAAGTTAATAAGCTATAAACTAATTGTTCAGTGTCTACTATGTATTGGACATGGTATTAGGTCCTGAGGCCAGAATGAAAACTAGGACTTGGTCCCTTTGCTTAAGTAAAGTGAGGCAGACAATGGAATATTTCACATTTCAAATCAGTATGATAAGTGCTGTTGAAGATTGTGATTAGAGCTCTGTATCTGTAAAGGAAAGGTTCATTCATACCAGGCTGGGAGTTAGAGGCTTTCTGAAAATGTTATGTGAGTTATGAAAGACCATAAGGGGTTAACCACATAACAAAATAAGGTAAGAGATTTTAGGCAGAAGACAAAATATTGTCAATGGCTTGGAGCCATATACTAGCTTAGTATTAATGGGAGAGCTTAAAGACTTTCTATATTTCAAGAGCAGAAAATAGAAAGTGGGCCGTGATAAGAGATAAACCAGTAGATACATTCTGGGAACAGATTGTAGAAGAGTTTATATGCTGTCCTAAAGAGATTAGACTTCAACTTCAGTCCATGGAAATCAATGACAAGTCCTAAGCAAGGGGAAGATGTGGCTAGAAGAGGTATTTTAGGTAGATGGCACAGTCAAGTCTGTAGTAATCTAGATTAGGCAAGGAGTTAAAGTTGCAGTCCTAAGACAATAGTTTAGGTAAAAGATAATGAAGTTTTGAATTAGGGTGCTAGCAGAAATGAAGAAGAGGGATGGATTTGAGAAATAGGAAGTGTATTAGTAGGACTTGATTAGTGATTGACTAGGAGGAGGTAGAAAGAGAGAGTTCAAGGTGACTCTTATGCTGTCTAATGTGGGTGATTAACTAGTGAAGCTATTAATAGAGGTAGGAAATGCAGAACCAGAGGCAGGCCTGGGATGGGAGATGATAAATTCAAATTTTAACATGTTGAGTTTCGACACCCAAGCCGAAATAACCGTAGGCTTTTAAATACATGAATCTGAAAAGCTGAGCATCATCACCATATTAACTACTGGCAAAATTTTGGTAGTCAGTGAAATCTCAGTATAGAGCCAAGCAGTGGGCTGGGGACAAAACATGGGGAAATATTATTTAAATGAAGATGAAAGAAAAGAAGCCCACAAAGGAAGCTGAAAAGGCATAGGGAAAAAAGGAGAGTCACAGGAGTGCCATCTTTGAAGCTGTTTTTACACTTTATAAGGGAACTTTTAGTTACTGGGATTATATGCATTTATAAAAGTTTCTATTATTTTGAAGATAATAATAATGATAAAGCTCTTTATCATTGTCAGTGTAATTTACCTATTTAATTATTGACCCTATTTCCAGGATGTTTAATCGTTGGTGTATACTTGAAGGCAAAATGAATTATACCTTAATAATAATATGTTTCAACTCTTACTAGATTTTCAACACATCATACATTGAACCACTACCAGATGGGTATGAGAATGTTACAAATATTGTACCACCGTATAATGCTTTCTCAGCCCAAGGCATGCCAGAGGTAAAATAAAAGACAATTGTTTTATTCAAGTCTTTAGATGTTTCTTTGCTATATAAAATATGTATAGAGAGCTAAAACCAAGGGGATTAGGTGAATCATACATGCTAATCCATTGTTCTATGTTCAGTACTATGAGCACCTCCTCCTTAAAATTAAAAATACTACTACTAATAAAACAGAAAAGAACACTAGAAAAAGAAAAAAAGGAAACAAATTCATTAAAAACAGACCCTGAGGAAGCAGATGCCACTCTGAAATAACAAACTGCTGAACATGCCTTTAATTCAGTAAAAGAAATAGATGTTTTTATGAGTTTCCTTTCATTGTTCGTAATCTAAATTTTTTTATAGATTTATATATCTGATTTTAGAGGTCATACCACAGAGTTATTAAATTAATATCATGGTTAGAAATTAAACATAGTTAAGATTTTCAGAATGATGCTTATTTACTCTATTTCCTGTGGCTTTGTATACATTGATAATTTCTTCAAAACAGAACACACTGTTTAAACAAGCCTTATATATTATCATTTTTTTTAACTTTTCTGGATTTTGAAAGATTCTCTGAAATCTTTTGTAGAATTACCATGGATCTGTTTATTAATTCCGGATAAGGAAAGGATACTTTTGATGATGCCGTATTGTGGAACAAACTTATTTTTTTGTTTTCTTTTTAATTTTAGCAGTAGTATGTATTTGTTTTCTTTTCGCTATAGGGAGATCTTGTATATGTGAACTATGCTCGTACTGAAGACTTTTTCAAACTAGAAAGAGAGATGAACATTAACTGCACTGGGAAGATTGTTATTGCAAGATATGGAAAAATCTTCAGAGGAAATAAAGTATAGTATTATTTGTTTTTCTAAAGGGAATGAGAGAAGATATATCCTATAAATGCAAATGATCAGCTTGCTTCGTAGTTTCCAAAAGTGCTTTCAAACTTTTTCTTTTCTTTTCTTTTTGTTTTATTTTTTGCTACTTGCCATGGTGCACAGAAAATCCTGTTTTTATGTTACCTTACATTTCTGGAAAGGAAAATTATTTTTAATTTATACTACAAAAGTAATGTTTAGGCCCCTGTTCTCTCTAGATCATGTACTGTGAGTAAATTACTTAACCTCTCTGTGGCAAAGTTTCCTCATATATAAAATAGGAGTGCTCATAATAGCATCAATCTCATAGAGTTCTTATTAGGGTTAAATGATTTATGTTTGAAAGTGCTTAGGATAATGGTATTTAGTAATTTCTGGTTTAGTAATTTAGTAATTTCTACATAATTCCTCATTAAATATTTCACTGTTTTAAATGGTAGCACAATATTTCACAGAATTGATAAGCAATTTATTTAACCATTCCCCTATTGATGGATGCTTGTCTTGTCTTGAATTTGTTACTACTACAAATAATTCCATGTGTGCATCCTCGGCCATATATACTTCAAACATTTGTGTGAAGATTTTTGTAGTATAGATTCCTAGACATTGAATGGGTGAATCACAGTGTATGTTCTTTCAAAATTTTGGTAGGCATCATCAAATTGCCCTTCAAAAACATCATGACAGATTGTACTTCCACTGATATAATAGAGTACTCTCTGAATATTGGAATGTATTTTAGTGAATAAAGACTGATAGTTATCCATCTTTTGCTACAATAGTTTTGATAGTGAAGAATTAGTATATCACAGTTTCAGTTTTCTTATTCTTGGCAGTTTGGATTTTTAGATGTTTACAAAAACACTATAGACAGTTGTTCACACACTACGACTGTTCTGCATAAAATTTTAAATCAGTTTAGTTCCACATATATTTGTAGAGTGCTTACTCTGATGTGCAAGATTTTGGAAAGCGGTAGTTAAAAATAAATTAGACTATGATCCGTATTCTCAAAACACCATCAGTCTAGTAGGAGAGAGACATTTAAAAGATATTTTAATATACTATGATCTCTCCTATAATAGAAATATATACAAAATACAGAAGTACAAAGAAGGGACACATTAATTTTGTAGATTTGGGGACAAAAGGATTGTTTCACAGAAGAAGTGGTAACTTGTTTAGAATTTTGTAGAATAAATGGAAGTTTATTTCTGCAAAGAGGGAAATTGTATTCAAGGCCAAGAGAACTGAAGGTATAATGGCATGATAAAATGTAGTGTCTGACCGGGTGCGGTGGCTCACGCCTGTAATCCTAGAACTCTGGGAGGCTGAGGTGGGAGGATCGTTTGAGCTCAGGAGTTAGAGTCCAGCCTGAGCAAGAGTGAGACCCCGTCTCTACTAAAAATAGAAAGAAATTGGCTGGGCAACTAAAAATATATAGAAAAAAATATATATAAGAAAAAAGAAAATGTAGTGTCTAAATTTTCTCACATTATGAAATTCATCTTTTTCCTATATGAATAAGTTAATCAGTTGCCATTTCTGCATTATGGATTGCACGTTGCCTCTGCAGGTTAAAAATGCCATGTTAGCAGGAGCCATAGGAATTATCTTGTACTCAGATCCAGCTGACTACTTTGCCCCTGAGGTACAGCCATACCCCAAAGGATGGAATCTTCCTGGTACTGCAGCCCAGAGAGGAAATGTGTTAAATTTGAATGGTGCTGGTGACCCACTCACTCCAGGCTATCCAGCTAAAGGTAATGGATGAGCTTATCAGTCTACCATTTTTGCAAAAATACTCCTTGCCCTTTTAGATAGGATAAAAGCAAAGATCTACAAAATAACATGAAAACTAAAATGTGTGCAGTTATATCATTTTGGATTACTATTGCTAGGAATTAAAAAGCATTCCCCTTTTATTACTTTGGACATGGGGAGGGAACACTTAGTTCATGTTCTCCATCTTCCTTTAGTATAGTAGAGGTTCAGAAACACTGATCCTCATACCCCAAGTAATATTGCTTTTATCAAACCAGAATTTATGTTTGCCGAGTTACCTAGGGTTTTTATTCTTCTTTAGCTCATACATTTCTACTTTAAAAATTACCAGTGAGTTTTATGTTTTTTCAGAAGTAAAATTTGAAAACTTTTGGCATATGGGAAATGATCTCCACAATCGAGATAATGAACATATCCATTATCCCAAAATGTTTCCTCTCATCTCTTTGTATTCCCTTCTTCCCAACTCTTCCTGCCTCCTCCATGCCAATCCCTAGGCAACCACTGATCTGCTTTCTGCTGTCAGCATAATTATTTTGAGATCTATCCATGTTGACATCTGTGTCAATACTTTGTTTCTTCCTTCCCTCCCTCCCTCTCTTTCTCTCTTTCTCTATCTTTTAGCAGTATTCCATTGAATGGCTATAGCATAGTTTGTTTATTCATTTACTTGTTGATGGACATTTGGGTTGTTTTCAGTTTGGGGACCATTACACATAAAGGTGTTATGAACAGTTATACAAGCCCCCCCCCTTTTTTTTAAAAGAAGAATCTTTATATTTTAGTACATTTTTTTTGAGACAGGGCCTTGCTCTGTTGCCTGGGCTAGAGAGTAGTGGCATGATCATGGCTCACCGCAGCCTTGAACTCCTGGGCTCCAGGTATACAAGTCTTTGTATGTACATATACTTTTATTTCTCTTGGGTAAATACTTGGAAGTGGAATGGCTGGATAATATAGTAGATGGATGTTAAACTTTTAAAGAAATTTTAAATTTTTGTTCCAAAATGGTTGTTTCATTTTATATTCCAACAGCAATGTATGCCTGTTCTAGTTGCTACTTCCTCACTAACACTTAGTATGTCAATCTTTGTATTAAATAATTCCACATGCTAACAGATATGTAAGTCCTTCAAATTACTACTCTTTCAAAATTGTTGTGTCTATTCTTGGTCCTTTCCACATGAATTTTAGAAGCAGCTTGCTAATTTCCATGAAAAAGCCTCCTGGAGTTTGATTATGATTAAATGAAATCTATAGATCAATTTGGGGAGAATTGACATCTTAAAAATATTGAATCTTTAATCCATGAACAAGATACAAGTCTCTGTTCTTTAATTTCTCCCAGTAATGTTTTATAGTTTCACTATTACAAGTCTTCATTTTAATGTTTTATAGTTTCACTATTACAAGTCTTCATTTTAATGTTTTATAGTTTCACTGTATGAATTATGCACATCTTTTTTTCAGATTTATCTATAACCATTTCATAATTTTATATTATAAAATTTCAATTGCAATTTTTTATTACTAGTAAATAGAAACACTATTGTATTCATAGAAGAAATACATTGATCTTGTATCCTGCAAACTTGTTAAACTTACCAATTAGTTCTGCTGGGTTTTTGTAGATCCCATTGGAGTTTTTACATAAATGATCATGTCATTTGCAAATAAGGGCCATTTTATTTCTTTGTTTCTAATCTGGATATGTTTTATTCTCTTTTCTTGCCCTTTTGTACTGGCTAAAATCTCCAGTACAATCTTGAATAGAAGTTGTTAGAACAGACATCTTTGCCTTTTTTCTGTTCCAAAGAAAGCATCACGTCTTTCTCTGTTAAGTATTATACTAGCTCTAGGTTCTTTATAGATTCTTTTTGTCACACTGAGAAAGTTTACTTCTGTCCTAATGTGGTGAGAGTTTTTAACCTAGAATGTATGTTGCATTTTGTCAAATGCTTTTTCTGTGTATACTGAGATAATTATATGTTGTTACTTACTTTGTTAAATTATTTTGATTTTTTTTAGTTTTAAACCAACCCTGCCATTCTGAGATAAAATTGGCGATGATTTATTATCCTTTTATATATTGTTGAATTTTTGTTAAGTTTTTCTTAAGAGTATCTGTTAAGAATATCTCTATGTTCATAAGGGATATTGGTCTGTATATTTAATTCCTTGTAATATCTTTAGTATCAGAGTAATGCTGGCCTCTTGGAATGAATTGGAAACTGTTCTATCTTTTTCATCTTTCTGCAAGATTTTATATGGGATGAGTTCAATTTTGTCTATAAATGTTTGGTAGAATTCCCCAGGAATCTGCCTGGGCGTGAAATTTTTTTGGAGGATTGTTTTTCATGACAAATTGAATTTCTTTAATAGATGTATGGCTGTGCAGGTTACCTATTTATTCTTGAGTGACCTTTGGTAGTGTCTGTTTTTCAAGAATTTTAACCATTTTATATAAATTGTTGAGTTTGTAAGCATAGAGTTGTTCATAATATTTTCTCATTCTCTACTTGTCTGCAGGTACTGGAGTAATGTTCTCTCCTTTATTCCTGATATTGGAAATTTATGTCTTGTCGACTTTTTTTTCTTCTTGATCTGTCTTGCTAGAAACAGACATTTATTAGTTTTATTGATCTTGACAAAGAACCAGCTTTGGGTTTCATTGATTATTTTTTTTTTTTTTTTTTTGCCTTCCATTTCTTAGCTTTCTGCTCTGGTCTTTATTATGTCCTTCCTCCTGCTTATTTTGGCCTTTGTTTGTTCTTTTTTTAGTTTCTTAAGGCGGAATCTGAAGTCATTTGTTTGAAACTTTTCTCTTTTTGTAAGATAGGTGATTTAGTGCTATAACTCTTTCTCTAAGCCCTGCTTCAGCTGCATCCTACAACTTTTAATATATTGCATTTTATTTTTTTAGCTCCAAATATCAATACTTTCCAATTTTCCTTTTCATTTTTACTTTGACCCATGGTTTATTTATACGTGTATTATTTAGTTTTCAAATACTTGGAAATTTTCTAGATATCTCTTTAATACTGATTTCAGATTTAATTCCACTGTGGTCCAAGAACATGCTTTGTATGATTTTTACATTTTTTTGTCTTAAAGGTCCAAACAAAACTATTTAGATTTATTAATACGTGTTCGATGGCCCAGAATATGGTCTATCTAATATATGTTCTATATGCACTTGAAAAGAATGTATATTCTGCTGTTTTTGGGTGGAGTATTCTATAAGTGAAAAAAAAAAGTCAGGTCCAGTTAGTTGTTAGTGTTACTTAAGTCTTACATACTAAAAATTTTTCTGACTAATTGTATTGTTAAAACTTTTGTTTCAATATTCAATTATTTTATAAAAATACTTAAATAATAAGAAAAAAATGTTATGGAAAAACTATTTCATATATTTTGTCATTTTTAAATTGTTTCAGGTTTAAAGATAAATTCAGTCTGTCTTACTTTATCTTGGCTGAAATCCAAAGTTCCAATGAGGTTTTAAGGCTGGCAGTACTTTTTGGTCTTCCCTTGAAGAGAATATTACATTATTGTTTGAATGTTTATCTTTTTTCCAAAAACCTTATATATTTCTTTTGAGGTTTTTTTCCCGAATTACTTATAGTTTCAGAATCTGAGACAGATTCTAGTCATCTGGTTAATGAAGCTTCTCTAAGGACTCACAATAGCCTTGAAGAAATAAAATATTCTTGTAAATTCAAGAGAATTATGTGAAATGTCAAAGCAAATCTGGGAATCTATAATCAATTTAACTTTAAAATATTTAACTTTAAAATGATTTAATTCTTACTGTTGAATCAAATAGGCCATATTAGGTAAAACAATTGTTTGATTTTGGGGACATTTTAATTTGGCATAATTGCAAATGTATAGCAAACCTGCAAATGATACAAAAAATTCCTGTATGCTACTTGCCCAGATTCTTTCATTGTTTTCATTTTATGCACTTGATTTTTGCAGAGTACACCTTTAGACTTAATATTGAAGAAGGAGTGGGAATCTCTAAAATACCTGTACATCCCATTGGATATAATGATGCAGAAATATTATTACGGTATAGTTTTCTAGTTGGATATGAGATTAAGATATTTTGTATTAAGATGTCCATTTTCTGATATAAAACCAATATCTAAAACATAATTAGTTAAAAAGTAAAGTCTTGTATCAAAATAACTTCTGAAATAGGAATAACAGAGCCTACCATGTTTTTATTCCATAAGAGAAAAGTAGTCAGTCTAGTGACTAAAAAATAATAGGAAAACATTGCTCTGTTTGCTACAAATTAAATTCTTAAATAAAATACTATGTCCAAAAAAAAATGAATACTGATTTGAGATTTTTCAAGTAGTCGGATTTTCTTAGATCTATTCATTAGATGTTTATACTTGATACGTAGTTTGAAAATATAATAATGCCCACCACTTATTAGATGTATGGCCTTGGACAAGATGCTTAATCTTTCTCTGACTCAGTTTCCTTATCTGTAAAATGAGCACAGTAATCATTTCTCCTTGGTAGGGTTATTATAAGATCATATGTGTAAAGTAGTTAGCACAATGTCTAGAATGTGGTAAATAATTAATGTTTGCTATTGTATTATTGTATTTAAATGTCTGTATTAGCACAACTTAATAATTGCTTATGAGTTCCTACTATGTAACCAGCAACTTCTTTACAAATTTCTTATCCTTAAACAGTCATGAGTCTCCTACATTCAGGATTTCTTGGACGTAGTGCTTCCCCACATAAATAACTAGGTCACAAGTAAGGAGGCTGATGCGTCCCATCTGCCCCCACTATTTTATTTTTTCTCCTTAGCTCTTATCTCTAACATATTACATATTTTACTTATTCATTTCAATTATGGCTGTCTCACTACAATGTAAGCTCCACAAGGAAAGGGATTTTTGATAGTACCTGGCACCTTGTAGATACTCGATATTTCTTAGATGTATGAGTAAACTATTTTCTCTTCGTCAAATTTTATTATTTCTTCTTGGAAATTGTGATGCTCAGGCTTTTTCTGTCATTTTCTTTACTTTTTCTTCTTTTTTTCGACAGCCATTTGGGAGGAACTGCTCCACCAGATGACAGCTGGAAGGGAAGTCTTAATGTGGGCTACAATATTGGCCCTGGCTTTACAGAGAGTAATTCTTTCAGGTAATTTTGCATTACTTTCGTAGCCTGGAAAAGTTTTATATTTTTAATGGAAACATGTCAAGATAACTGTTCTGCCAGGTGTATTTTGCTTATGTCTTTTTCTCATTTTCACTAGTGAACAAATGATTTTATATCACTTAAGAAGTACTTACATTTATCTCTTTAAGGTATCTCCGTATTGCTTTCCACAGAGGTTGCACTAGTTTGCAATCCCACCAGCAGTGTATGAGTGTTCCCATCTCTACGCATCCATGCCAACATTTATTGTTTTGGGAATTTTTGATAAAGACCATTCTCACTGGAGATAAATGATATCTCATTGTGATTTTGATAGAAGTAGAACTACCATTTGATCCAGCAATCCCATTACTGGGCATCTACCCAAAAGAACAAAAGACA